CCTTGAGGGCAATGTGACCACATGCAAAGCTAAACTGACCCCTCCCCCCCAACTGGAAGTACACACTACAGAGAACACACTAAACCTACAGGTGGGGGAGAGAGGCCGGCCTGCCACACCCACACAGAAGCAAACCAAGACAGAATAAGAGAGTGGAGGGACCAATGCGAAGAATCTATTCATGTGTCTTATCTGATTTTTGTTTCTGTGTGTGTATATTAATTTGAGGAAATGCTAATTCAAGTACTTTGTTCACTTAAAAACTGTTATTTTAAAATTGGACTGCATAAAAATGAAAACATCTACTCCTTTAAAAACGATATATCAAGAAATTACAAATAAGCCACATATTGATAAAAAATGTCTGTGAATCATGTAGACTTACATAATATTCTCCACTTCATCATATGCACGTGAAAGTTGGACATTGAATAAGGATGCCCAAAGAAGAATTAATGCATCTGAATTGTGGTGCTGGAGAGTACTATGGACGCTGTGGGCAAACTGACCTGTGTTGGAAGAAGTAAGGCCAGAGTGCTACTTAGAGGCAAGGGTGGCAAGACTTCATCTTATATACTTTGGGCATACTGTCAGGAGAGACCAGTCCCTGGAGAAGGACATCATGCTTGGTAAAGTGGAGGGGCAGTGAAAAAGAAGCCTCTCATTGAGACAGAATGACATAGGGGCTCTATCAATGGGAGCAGGCATTGGAACAATTGTGAGGATGACACAGGACCATGTAGTGCTTTGTGGTTGTGTACAGGGTTGCTTTGGATTGCAGTCAACTAATGGCAACTAACAACAAATATATATCTCTTGCCATCTTAATGGAGGAATTAGTTATCACAATGTCGTTTTGATTTGCCTTGTTCTGATAGCTAATAACATTGAATATTTTTTTCATGTTTTTGGTGGTTATTTGATCTGCTCTAATTTTTAGTATGTCTTCTACTCATTTCTATTCTTTCATTTTTGTTTGAAAGATTTTTAAGGTTGTTTTTCTTTATTCATGGTTTCAAATATACCCAATACATTCTGATTTGTATAGTTTTTATATTAAACAAATTCTTAAATTTCATTTTGTATTGCTTCTTTCACTCATGAGTTAATAGCAAACCAAATTAATTGCCACTGAGTCAAAGCTCTGTGGCCCTGCTGAACAAGGTAGAACTGTCTGTGTTTTGAGACCATCACTCTTAATGGGAGTTTCTACTTTCTTCTGCGAAGCAGCTGGTGGTTTCAAACTACTGACCTTGCATAACCACTAGTAAAACCAGTGCTCCGCCATGAGCTAATAAATGATTTTAAAATTTTCTAGTTGTCAGTGGCATTTCATTTTCTAATAATTTCTAGCTTTATTGAAATGTGATCTAAGTTTTACTAATTCTATTCCTACACTATAGAACTTCCTAATATTTTCTTTGGATCCCAATAAATGATCACTTTTGGTGATTTTTCCACTTATGCTTTTAACAGTGTATCCTCTAGTAACAAGGACTAAAATTTCCCATTATGTTGATTAGGACATCAGGCTTGGTAAAATAGAGGGGCTGCACAAAAGAGAAGGTGGCGTTGAGGAGATGCACTGACACTATAGCTGCAACCGCGCTCTGGTGGCGTTTCCTTCTGCTCTACATTTGGTCACTATGAGCTGGAACCGACTTGATGGAACCTAACAACATAGCCTCTGTTATTGTCTTTATCAACTTTGCATCTCTCTCTCTTTTCCCCCCATTAAAAATAGTTTTATTTTATTCTTTTTAATTATTTTATTGAGGGCTTTAACAACTCTTATAACAATCCATACATCAATTCTATCAATCACATTTGTGCTTATGTTGCCATCAATTTCAAAGCATTTTCTTTCTACCTGAGTCCTTGGTATCAGCTCCTCTTTTTTTCCAACTCTCATGAACCCTTGATAAATTATAAATTGTTATTATTTTCATCTCTCTTCTTTCACCCATGTTTCTGTTGTCTCCCTGGGAGGGGTGGTGTGGTGTGTGTTTGTGTTATACATCAATCATTGGCGATCGGTTCTCCTATCCTCACCGCACCTTCCTCCTACCCTCAAGTTACTGCAACTCCCATTACTGTTCCTGAGGGGGTTATCTGTCCTGGAGTCCGTGTGCCAAGAGCTCCTATCTGTACCAGTGTCCGTGCTCTGGTCTAGCCGGATTTGTAAGGTAGAACTGGGGTTATGATAGCAGGGGTGGGGTGGAGCGGGGCAGGGGAGGATGCATAATTACTGGAGGAATGTTGTGTGTTTCGTCGATGCTATACTGCACCCTGGCTGACTTGCCTCTTCATTGTGACCCTTCTGTGAAGGGATGTCCAATTGTCTACAGATGGGCTTTGATTCTCCACTCTGACCCCGCCCCCCCCCCCCCCCTCGTTCACATTGCTATGATTTTTTTGTTCTGGGTCTTTGATGCCTGATACCTGATCCCGTCGACACCATGTGATCACACAGGCTGGTGTGCTTCTTCCGATGTGGGCGTTGTTGCTTTCCTACTAAATTGCCCCTTGTTTAACTTCAAGCCTTCAAGACCCCAGATGCTCCATCTTCTAATAGCTGGGCACTGTCAGCTTTCTTCACTACATTTGCTTATGTATCCATTTTGTCTTTAGGGATTGTGTCGGGAAGGTGGGCATCACAGAATGCCAGGTTATTAGGACACAGCGTTCTTGTGCTCAGGGAGGGTTTGGGTAGAGGCTCAATGGCCATCTACCTTTATACTTAACATATAAATATATGTACTTAGACCTATATCCCTATCATTATATATTAATATATTTAAATATATACATGCCTATATTTATACCTCTATAAATGTCTTTTGCCTCCAAGTTCTTTCTCCTTTTTCCTTTTCATTTCCGCCTGTTCTGTTATCATGTTCGACCTTCATTTGGCTCTCAGTAATTCCTCCCAGCTACTTTTCACTTGATCCACCCCACTATGTCCTCCTCAGCCTCGATTTTAGATCTCTTGTTGTTCCCTTGTCCCTGGGTTTGTTGGCTCCCCCCTTCTTTTTCCCCACCTCTTCCTCTCCCATGTCCCCCTGAAACTATCAGTCCCTCTGTTTTTTCCCTCAGGATTGTTTATCCTGTCTATCTTATATGGATACAGGGGGAGGGGGAATAGTTTATAAATAGTTCCAGACCTGTCTGCTGACCCTTATGAATAAACTGATGAGGTACCAAGCCCTTCCCCCTGATGCTCATTTTTTTAAAAATTCTTTTTTCTCCTGAAGAGCTGACTTTCTAAATTTGTCTCCTCATGAAGTGTGCTCTTAAATCCCTTCTCTGTTCTAGTCTACCACAACTCTCAGCAATTTTGTACTTAGGGTAGATTCCTCTCTCTGGCAAATACATTTTAGATCAATTTTAGGCACACAGTTTGAGCTTCTTCTTTATCCATGCAACGTTTCCCATATTTCACTTGTGTCCTATAAAGTTTGGAGGAGGAACACAAGAAATAGGTTTCTGTGACTCAGCACTTACGTTTCTATTTATCTGTGATTTAAAGTTTCAATATTATCTGTCCTCTAGTTATGCTGAAGGTATAGGTTTTCATTTTTCAAGAGGTAAAACAGTATAAATAATATTATAGCTTCAATTTCCTTCCCTCGCTCTTCCTCTCAAAGGGAGACTGGGTGGTATTTGTAATACACCCAAAGTATATATGTATCACTCCCATGCATCCTTTTATGTTTATTAAATATGTATTCCTAAACCATATTTTCAATGCTTACACAAATAGTAAGATGTTGTAAATATCTTTTGCAACTTAAACTATTCAAAACTTTAATTATGAGACTCATCAATGGAGATATACCTAATAAATTACTGTACTAGTTTGTTCACTGTTAACTACTACGCTAAAATGTTCCCTTTGTTGATTCCAATTACTATGATTATCCCTGGTGGCATCATGGGTAAAGTGTTGGGCTGTTAATCCCAAGGTTGGCAGTATAAATCTACCAGGCTTTCTGCAGAAGAAAGATGAGGCTGTTTGTTTCTGTGAAGATTTATAGCCTTGAAAACTCTAACACAGTCACTCTGTAATTAAATAGCAAGAAACAGAGTGTCTGGATCACGGGGCAGACCCATTTATGCATTTCCAGAGTGTTCTCAAAGGTTATGTTCTAGCAATTTATACCCCAGCTAATAACATCTAAGATCTTCCTTTCCCTCATATCCTTACCATCATTTGTAAGGCATTTGGGTTCTTTCCATTAAAACAACAAAAAACCAAAACTAATCAATATTAATAACATCTCTTGTAGGAAGTGGCATGTACAGATGGAAACACTAACATGCTGCATCCCTCAGCTTTAATGTTTTGTAGGTATTTCAAGACTGATCTTTTAACTACTAACTCTGAAGATGTAAAATAATATGATGTCTGTCATGTACGTTCAAAGAGTAACTCAAGTACATTTTTGGTCTCATGATAGAACTGCTTTAATCCAAGTTCAATACATTCTCAAACTATTTGAAGAATGATTTCAGAAAATCTGTTCCTATTAAAGGTGTGGATTTTTATACACTGCCTTTTTCTTAAATGAAGACTCAGAGGAGAAATTTTTCTCTAACCTTAATACTAGGAGCAACACCTCTCTCGAACATCGAGTTTATTTTTACTTTCAGATATAGATGATCTTATTCCTTAGTTATAAAAGATGTTAAGACTAGGGCCAAACCCAAGGAATCTCTCGAGGAAACTTATAGCACCTTATATAACTACCTCCTCTCAATTTTATAATTTTTATTCTCATTTTGTTGACATCCTTTATCTTGTATGTGCTTTTCTAAGCCACATAAAATTAAGGATTTATAATATAATGAACTCATAATATTAGTTAAAAAAATGCCCCACCATCTGCCCTTTATTTTTTTCACAAATAAGAACTAAATGTCTCAGTGCCATTCTTCTTCAATACTGTCTAGAGCATATCTGATTTGACACTAAATTCTGGGATCACTCAGATCCTTACCTTTTCTGCTACTTCTCTTACAGACTGAACACTGGTTCCATATAGATGGTTGTTATACTGGCCAGCTTCAATGAATTTATGTTCCTGAATATCTTTTTCCATCTGTTCTCTTGAAGTCACAAAATGATAATCTCTCCCATCTACTTCGTAATCTCGTTTTGGTCTAGTTGTATCTTTAATAGAAAAATATTGAGGAAGTGCATAATACTTAAAAACAAATAATACACCGGTTTTCTACTTAAGCCTATTTTTTGCAAAGTTTAAAATAACAGAGGATAATTTCAATTTGAAAAGAGACAATCTGGAGGATGAAGGTATAAATGATAAAACAATCAAGGATAAACCACTAAAAATGGACATATTTATTTTTATTATAAATAATGTAAATACTGCAGAGAATGTTTGGAACAGTAATTAAGGGATTTTGTTACTCACGAGGAACACATGATCCAAATTTGTCAGGGAATTCTGAGATCAAGTCATCATTTATCCTGTCTTTCATAGGTCCCAGTATGATCACTGGCCGAGTATAATTAACTACAAAGACAAACGTGGTGTCAATGTATTTTATTTCATTCAAGAACAAAAAATACTCTTAGGTTAAAATTATATATATTTCTTTATCCACCATATTCTTTAAGAACTAAAGATACTTAATTTTCCAGATAACGAGTCTTTACAGTGAGAATATGGAGATGTAGAAAAAGTTATTTACTAAGATCTCAAATTCTACTCTCCTAAATCAATCACATACTTGATAATTCATTCAACCAAGTTAAACTTGGCATGTTAGTAGATGTTTCTACACATTGTTAACATCCTCTCATTCCAAGGGGAAACACAGAGCACATTGTTTTACCGATATGTTCCTTACTAGATATCATGAGGAAGCAAAAAATTGAGTGTAGGAAATGATGAAATAACAGTGATCTATAAAAGATGCTCTAATGAAAGCTGCATACATTGGACTGAAGGGGATTATGCTGGAAGCAGGGAAAAGTGAGAATCAACACTGTGGTAAGCAGCATTAAAAGGAGGTTATAGATAAAGGAGATATGACAGAAGAGGGATGAATGGGACGAGGAACAGAGTCAAGTCACAGCTGCTTCCAAGACTGTGACTAGGGGTTCTAGAAGGACAGTGACGCTGCTGATGGAAATATTGCTCACAACAGGAAATGCCAATGTAAACAGCAATACCGTGGGCTAAACCATGCTCCACAAAACCAATGCAAACAGCAAAGCTCTAGTATACCTCCATATCTCTCTGAGTTTAAGTAGGAGTTAGCCCTGGTTTATAAACTTAGATCTGTATTTCTTTCAAGAGTATTGCAAAATATCAACGGAGTTCACAAACCTTCTTGTTGATTCACTGGTTCATAAGATAAGACATATTCTTCTTGTCCACCTATTAGAGAGTTAAATTACAGATGAGAAAATTCACAAAGATAATAATAATTTAATTGTTCAGATATAATATAAATTACTTAGACTTTCCTGAGAATATGGAGATGTAGAAAAAGTTATTTACTTGATAAATTATTTATGAAAAAAATTCACAAAGTGATAAATTAGTCATAAAAATAAGTTTGATACACATAAAAACATTTTGTTAGCAACTAGGTGTCTCTTATTCTATTTTTAAAAGATTATCATAAAAGCTACTTAAAATCTTCACTTGTACTGTCTAGTATGTGTTTTTAGTATTTTATTAACATGCTTTTTGGAACTTCAAGAATTTAGTAACGATTATATCTTTAAAAGATTAGTATTTCAACAATAGTGCCATAAGATGCACACATTAGACAATTTACTGCTGTCAGATTACACTACTTTTTTTATCCCACCAGGTATTATATTTAAGAGTGTATTTAATTTGCACAATAAATATAATTACAATCAAAATCAGAGAGAGAGAAAATATAAATGTCTCAGAAAAAAAACAAACAAACTCCCAAGGTGGTTTATATCGTTAACATGCTTAGTTACTAACCAAGAGGTGGGGGGTGTAAGTCCACTCAGCCTCTGGAAAGCACCAGTCACTGAAAGCTCTGCTCTGATATATGTGAGGTTGCCACGAATCACAACAGATTTGATGGCAACCAGTACAATTGAAAATCATAAATGCAAAGGTAAAATTACTGTCTCTATTGCACTTATAAAAATTTACCATTCTACGAAATCATGCCCAAATCACTTTAAAAACTAACATTTAAAAATTAGATAAAAGAAAATCCTTCCTCTTCAACAAAATCAATCAAATAATGAAGGAGGTAACATGTATTTTGCTTTTGTCTTAAAAGCTCTTCATAGTTGTTAAATTCAATGTTTGGAGTTTAGTAAATTCTAAAGAGAAATGTCTACAAATTATTATCTGATCCAGTGAAAAGAACTGAAGAGTTGAAAATAATCAGTTCTTGGGCAGAAAAAACAAAACACACCACATACACAAACAAATGTGTAGACAACAAACTAGGAAACATTGTGTTAATCCAAATGGTTCAGTGTAAGCAATACATATTAGATAATGTATTTGAGGATTATCTTCTTGATTACCAAGATTCTAGAAACAACTTTTTCACTAACTTTATTTTTTATTTAATGGCTGTATAGATTTTCTAAATGCATGTATTGGCATAAATATTCTTTCTGTATTAAATGTGCAATTCATTGTTTTCAAGTTTATTATGTTGAACAAATACTTTACAAGTTAGTCTAAAAATGATGGTATATAAAATAATGGTTTACATATTAGTAAAGACATGCAATTAATATTCCACATCTTAAATAAGTCATGCAAATGGTGACAATAACAGTATATACTTTCAACACCTCTTTTTAATTGTAATGAACTCCGGTTATGGATTAATATAATTCTAATATATAAGATATTAAACTCGTATCCCCCCTTCCTTAAAAGGGAAATTTGCATAAAAACAAGCAATCAAATAAATGAGGATTAAAAGTATATACTGTCAACATGAAACTATATTAGAGATTGATATTAACAGGATGGACCTTTTGAACAGCCATACTCATCTGTAATCAAGATTACTTTCATATTAGACAGCAGTAAAAAAAAAGGTTAGAAAAGCAATTTTAATTTTTAAGGTGCTATAACTGTGTATTCTTCCTCATATCCCAACCTCTGTTAAAAGACTTCACATGCTTGCATAGCTCACTTAATACCAAGAGTGTGATGCAAAACATCAGTTGCATATGAATCAGTATAACTGTGTAAGCAGCTATTGAAAACTTCTCCTTTATCATTTTTTTTTATGCTCACTAAGTCCTGGTATTGAACAAGGACTTTCCTCTATCCAGAACTGGTGAAATAAAAATAAAAATGTAAATAAAGTGAACTATATCTTAGCATTAGTACAAATATTTTAATGTTCATATTAAAACAGTTACTAAAAAACATGGAAAAACGCAAAGGTTCCCTCACTGAACTAAGTATTATAGTCTTATAAATATTCACATACATGTAAATGTATTCTGATACGGATTGTGGTTGGCAAAAAAAGAATCAGTATGCCATTAAAATTTTGGAAATTAATTTTTGTATGTTAATATGATTTTATTTCTAAGTATAGTGGTTTACTTGACTTTCCTTAAGTTTATGATATTAAGCATCTAATTATTAATTTTTAGATTATATCACTAAGAGAAAAAACACACAACTAAAATGGTTTGTTTTTGAGATTACAATTTGAGATCACAAAAGAACAAATAACTTAAAAAACACTTACGGTAACTACTTTCACTATCGCTGGCATTAGAGGTTACATGCTCTGAAATTGCAGGACAATGGAAAAAATAAGGAAAACACAGCCATGAGTTTAAAAAGCAAAACTTATGAAAGCAAATTATCAAAATAAAAAAAACTGACATTACAAAATATTAGGATATAAATCACATATAACCAAAGAACTCTAAAAAGCATTTTTTATTTTCTTAAAAGTTTGTTTTAAAAGAATAAAGTATTAGCAAGATATTAAGGGAAATGTCTCATTTTTGTCCAGCATGTATTGTGAACAAAATCAATACTACAAATAGCATGCAGAACAGAGGTGGGGCAAGGCGGTCTTAAATTAGTCCAGTTGTAGTTGTGAAACCTAAAAAGAGAAAATGTAATCGGTACCGTTTAGGTTACTTTATGAAACAGTAATCGCTGCAACAAAGACAAGATACATCTGATTGAAAGGATGTCCTGGTAATTAAAAGTACTTGACCCTGTTTTACAGTTCAACTTCTCTCTTATTCCTAAAGTGAAATGACAATCCATGTTTCTGTGATCATTCTAATAAAGCATTTTTGGAAATTATAAATTTGGATCATACATATGCATCAAAGAGAAGGGAGTGCTGGGGCGTGGTAGTATGTTTGAAAACAGACCAATAATTTCATTTGCAGAAACTAAAAATCAAAATTTTCCATGGGAGAAGAAAATCCAAAATGTCCTATGTCAGGAAAAGAAAAAATAATTTTAAAGATAAGGAAAAAAATCTGAAGATAAATATTTGCTGCACTGACTAGATTATCCATGACTCCTAAAATCAAGCAGAACTGCTGAACTGCACAGAGAATGGTAACAATTTTTCAAAGAATGGCTCTTAGTGAAAAACGTTATTTTAAACCTGTAGAGATAACATGCAAAATTTAAATCATTATTATTAATATTTGAGATATAACATTAACTTTAAAAATGATAAGAACTGAATACTATATGAAAATATGTAAAATGGTGTTTTCCTTAAAAAGTCATTTTCTTGGGGGCTTTCACAGCTCATATCACAATCCACACATACATCTATGGTGTCAAGCACATTTGTACATATGTTGCCATCATCATTTTAAAAACGTATTCTTTCTACTTGAGCCCTTGATATTAGCCCATTTTCCCCTTTCCCCCACCCTTCCTCACTCACAGATCCTTGATAATATATAATTTTTTTTTTCATGTCTTACACTGACCGCTGTTCTCCACCCACTTTTCTGTTGTCTGTCCCCCTGGGAAGGGGTTTTATATAGATCATTGTGATTGGTTCTCCCTCTGCTCCGCCCCCCCCCCCTCTCCTTCCCCTCCTGGTATGGCTACTCTCAATATTGGTCCTGAGGTGTTTATATGTCCTGGATTCCCTGTGTTTCCAGCTCTTATCTGTACTTGTGTGCATACTCTTTGTGGTCTAGCTGGATTTATAAGGTAGAATTGAGGTCATGGTAGTTGGGGGAGGAAGCATTAAAGAAACAAACAAACTGCTATACTGCAACCTGACTAGCTCTACTCTTCTGTGTGACCCTTCTGTAAGAGATGTCCAATTGCCTACAGATGGGCTTTGGGTCTCCACTCCGCACTCCCCCTCATCACAATGGTAACATTTTTTTGTTCTGGGTCTTTGATGCCTGATACCTGATCCCATCAACACCTCATGATCACACAGGCTGGTGTGCTTCTTCCACGTGGACTTTGTTGCTTCTTAGCTAGATGGACACTTTACCTTCTAGGCTTTAAGACCCCAGACGCTATATCTTTTGATAACTGGGCACCATCAGCTTTCTTCACATTTGCTTATGCACCCATTTTGTCTTCAGCGATTGTGTCGGGAAGGTGAGTATCACAGAATGTCAGGCTATCAGAACAAACTGTTCTTGCACTGAGGGAGTACTTGAGTAAAGGCCCAATGTCTGTCTAATACTTAACATATAAATATATGTACACATATCTATTTCCTTATCATTACATATGAATATATTTACATATGTTCATGACTGTATTTAGACCTCTAAACTAACGTCCTTTGCCTCATTGTTCTTTCCTTTATTTCCTCTTATGTTCCTCTTGTCCCACTATCATGTTTGGCCTTCATTCTGGTTTCAGTAATTCTTCTCAGCTACACTGCCCTTGATTAAAGTCCCACCAGGCAACAATGGCGCTTTAAAAAACATATTAATGAAAAAAATCTCTTTCCAAGCTCCACATGGAGCTCAAAACACTGCTTTAAATGGTTGTATAAATAGGCTACTGATATGCAAATGATTTACCTTGTTATTAAAATATTTTAGTTTTCTTTAAGCTTATCACAAACATCGTAATTATTATTGTCTTATTTCGCTTTTTAATTCTTAAGCTATTACTTTAAAATTCATTCCCAGAAGTAGGTAAGACCCATTTTAAAAAATTTCTTAAATTTATTTGAGATTGAAGATATACTCTTCATCTCAAATTTGTTTTTAAAAATTAGTTATTGCAATAGGGTGGGAATAAGAAATTGGTAGGGGTATAAACAAAACTGTTTGAGTTGATCATGTTGGGTAAATGAATACTTGCAGGGCTGAAAGTTGGCTATATTAGATAATAAAAATTAATGTTACTACAATCTCTTTTCTATCATTTTCTGAGATTTCTGTTATTCATCTTGAGTAGATAGCTACTGAGCAATGGAATTCTCCAAGTTATTTGGAACATTCTCTTATAACTCCTCTATTCTAAAAATTTGCTACTTAAAGGAACATTACTACCACCACCATTACCACTTGGGAGTTTAAAAGGCAAGCCCCCTCCCAATAATTAAAAAAATCTTCAAGGCACTTCACAATAGAAAATGTTCGAAAAATAACAAAACAGAAATGCCAAGTTTAGAGAAGGATATGCAGCAACTGGAACTCATTCTGGGGCTTGGTGGGATACGTACAACCACTCTGGAGAAGTATTTGGCAGTAGCTACTAAATTATTTTGTTAGGTATATCTCCAGTAGTAATGTACACATACATCCACGCTCAAGAAAGTTCAAAGTAAGACTATTCAAAATAGTTCCAAAAAGAAAGTCAAATGTTTATCAGTCTTAGAAATGAAAAAATAAACTCCGAGAAGTTCACATAATGAATGAGAAAAATATTCACTGCTAATTTAAAAACCAAGGGGAAAATCTCAAACAAAATACGGAGTGAAAGTGCCAAACTCTAGGCCCTTTATATAAAGTTCAAAAGCAAATTTCTACTATTCTAGGTTAGAGGAGCTCTGGTGGCGTAGTGGTTACTTGTTGGTCTGCTAACTGCAAGGTCAGCAGTTTGAAACCACCAGACACTCTGTGGGAGAAAGAAGGGGTTTTCTACTCCCCCAGAGTTACAGAACTCACAGGGGCAGTTCTACCCTGCTCTATAGGGTTGTAATGAGTCAGCATCAACTTGACGGCAGTGGAGTATACTAGGAGCCACCCTCTGGTTGGAGGGGTTGTGTGACTGAGAGGGAGCATAAGAAATGATTCTGAGAGCTGGTTACAGAAGTAACCACAACTTTGTGAAAATTTATCAAGTTATAAAAGAGCTGTGTACGTTCCTGAATACATTACTTCACTGAAAAGTTAATTTAAAAGTTACTACTGCAATGTAAGAAAATCTTTTTATTCCTTTTTCTAAGCGTGTACAAATATTTGCAATATGCATATGTACAGTTAGATTTTTCACTCATGTTGTTATCCTGTCAGTAATTTTCTAAGTGGTTTTTCAGTGACTACATGCATAGCATAACACCACAAAGTATGGTTAAACCATACCCTTCAGTAATCATTCGCCAACTGTAAGACATTTAGAAAGGTTTCGACTGAATTTCTAAATGTTATAATGAACATTCTGCTATACAAACTTCTGCACCTCTGATTAATCAGGAAAAATCGTGAGAAGGAATTGCTGAGTCAATTTTAACTCGTTACGATAGGAGCAAGTAACATGTCCGAAAAGAGTCTCAAGGCCGGACTTTCCGGGGCAGACTGTCATATGCCCTCAGGGACTGGCTCGTGGGCTTGAAAAGCCAGTCTTTCAGTTGGCAGCGGAATGCTTACTGACGGAGCCACCAGAGCCCCTGAGGAGAAACAGTGGGGTCAGAAGGTGTGCTGTCTCAGCAAGGCTGTACTGGTTCAGACTTCGAAAGATCGTCATGTGAAGAGCAGCCATTCCACTGGTTCTCCAATCAAACAAGTCTTCCAAGGGGGCAGACAGAATGGTTCTCCAATCAAACAAGTCTTCCAAGGGGGCAGACAGAATAAACCGTCATTTGGTTTTCTAATACTGTGGGACTAAGCGTTTTAAAAAATATCTCATCTGCTTATTTTTTGAACACTCTTTCCACATCCTGTCTAGTTTTCTAATAAATAGTTTGTTTCTTATTGATTTGTTAAGGAATTCATGGTGTAAGGATGTTATTCCTTTGATATATATAGTATAAACTATTCTTCAAGACTTTATTTTAATTTTACCTTTGATGACGTTATTTCAAGTCTCTAACCAAGGTTCAACTTTATAATCATACATTCTTCCCAACAAGTTATGTCATGCTTCTTCTCTCTGCTTTCCCTGAATTGGACTCTATCATCACCAATACCAAGGAATATTACTGTTCTTAAAATAAAAAAAAAAGTCTTGAGTTGGCATTTAAGACCTCTGCATATTAAAGAAACAAACAAACTGGAAAAACCCAAACCTACTGCCAGAGGTGATTCTAATCGCGCCCCTGTGTAGGTCTCCCACACTGTGAACCTTTATGGTGGGCGCAGCTTCATCTTTCTCCTGAGGAAGGAAGGGGTGGGAGGTTTGAACCACTATGGCTAGCTGTCCAAAGCCTACTCTATAATGGCTCCGAGAGCTCTATCCACCTCTGCTTAAATAAGACTTTAAGATAACAGAGAACGTACAGAAATAATAGAAAGGAAAACCTATATACCGCCACTTGTCTGTCAGTGGTCATATACTGTGGTGCTGGAAGCTTTGTCACTGATATTTTAAATGCCCTCAGGG